CTCAAAGTCTGTAGGAAGCTGTGTTGTTGCTGGGAAAAAACCCAACCCAACCAACCAAAAAAACCCCAACAACCTAGAAGGTATCTGGAAGAGCTCTCATTAATTGTGGAGGTGTGGTCAAATATTGAAAGAATTAGAGGATCTGAGAAAAGGAAAAGAGCATAAAATTTACAGATGTACTGATATGAAGAGAAAACTTTTTTTTTTTGCAAAGCATATTTATTCTGGTATTTGTAAAGTGTTGAATGACTTCATTCACCTGAAGATTCTCAGATTCTTGTTTATGAATACCTTGGGAGGAAAATTAAGTCAAGAACTGAAAGGGCGATTGGAGGTCAGCTTTTTGAATGAGACTTAGAAAGGTTATAACATAGGAACTATACACAAGCATTTTTTCATTCTGGCTTTTTGTGTGTGTGAACTTCATCATAGAGCTATTGTATGTTATACAGAAGTTCCAAAGAGAAAAAGTACACAATTTGATTTGGGATCGCTGTGGGATTCAGTGGCTGTGTAGAGTAATAACATTTACCAGTGATTTGGTTGGTTCAGTTAATGTCAGTCCTATTAAAAATCTGTCTGTAGGCTTTGTGCATGTAAAAAAACATTGGAGTAAACTATGCAACTAATCCCTGAAATGTCTGTAGATCCAACTTTTTTCATATCTTCTTCCATGCCCTGAAAATACTGAACTTCATTGGAGAAGGATTTTCTTTAAGAGCTCTTGTACTGTGTAACATGTATATCAAAATAGACTTGAGTTGTGCTGCTATGAAATTACCAGGGATTCTTGAACTCTTTGATTTTGGATCTTTTTTCTTGCGAATATCCCTCAACTCTGAAAAACCTGTCCCATTCTAAAAGTTGAGGGACCAGGATGACATACTTCTGGCTTTTTGCCCAACAGAAGAATTATGTTTAGCAGCAGCGTTCCTTCTAGGAATTTTTTTCCTTGACTTATTTCAAATAAAGCCTACAGAAATACAGTATTAGGAAGCTGTTGAGTCTGTTGCTTCAATCTTATTACTCCGGTGCAGTGTGGCAACTCTGTGAATACTCAGATTCACAGATTAAGTTGAGGGTCAGCAAGCTAATTAACTATGCTCCTAAATGCTAAGTTAGCTAAGAGTTTGAATTTTATTTCCTGTAGGTATTATCAACCCAAAGAATCCTAAGGAAGCACCAAAGTCCTTCAGCTTTGACTACTCTTATTGGTCCCACACATCGGTAAGTTCTTTTATAAGAAAACAGGTTTGTGATTTTTATGGTGGTTTTGTTGTTGTTGACTGGCTTGATTTAACTACATTTTTTTCTGATCATGCCATCCCTGTCAGATATTTCTGCACTGTCTCTCTCATCCTTATTCAGGTTAAAAGCTTGTCATTGTATGTTGTCTTTTCCTGTTTGGGGGAGAGCAGAAAGCTAAGCTCCTGGAGTTTGATAACGAGTTGTAAATATTTGAAACATTACTGAAAATATTCTCCAACAATGTTCTGTTCTAAATATTTTAAGGATGTGTATGAACCACAGTTAATTCAGTTTTGCTGTTAGACAAGTGAAAGTTGCTCAAGTTCTTGTAGTTCAAGGAGAGATGTAGTCTGGGTTCCCTTGGCATAGCTGGAAAAGACAGAGTAGTGATCCATGTTTCTCACAGCTGCAAAAGCAATAGACTCTCATCTAGCTCCTCTGCCCCACCCTCCTGCGAATTGATGCTAAGCTCTTTCTGGCTTCCAGTAATTGTTCTACAGCAGAACTGTGTTATTCTGCCATCTACCCCTCCCCACCTTATTTTCTCAAAAGATATAGGAACAAGAGATAATGCATTTCTCTAAGATTAATTTTAGTAACCTGGATGGTGCAAATAGAACTTGGCCATAGATGTACTCAGAAATACTAACAAGATTGTTTTCATGATGAAAAACTTGGATTTGTGCAGCTCTTTTATTGTATATTCCAGAGCAGCCATGCAAGTAGATTACAGGATCAATCAGAGGAACATTATGAACTTAATTCCTGAAAACTAGCAGATAAGCAGCATCAAGGAAGAGAAGTGGTCTTATAAAACCTTGATCCCAACGTTAGAATGTTAGCACAGCTTAACTTATCCTGATTTCAGGAGCAAGTAATGTTACAATGCAACATTTCGGGAAGAGAGAGAATGCTAGATTAAGAATAACATAGTCATGTAAAATATAGTGACATACTCCTACAAAATCAAGTTTTGGTGATATGTTATCTGTGCATTCTCTTCTAGTTTGTACAACATAAAACATCTGCGTAGATAATCATTAGTATGATAGTTTTTTCAAGTATATTTACCAAGGACTTTCCTAAATGATCAAGAGAGGAAAAAAGAGCGTATACACTGAATCCAGCTTTCTGTCAGTATCTTTGTATCCTGTACCATGCCTGGAGCTGCACCTTAGATTGCCTGTCATGACTGGATGTTGGAGTCTGATCGGTACAGTGTCCGAGTGCCTGAAATGAAATACTTCAAAAAAAAAAAAAAAGAGGAGAATTAATTTCTGCAATTCATGACGTTTTGAACAGGTTCTGTATTTGACTTGAGATCTAGCAAGTGTATTCTTTTTGACATCTTGTGATTTTTTTCATTGCATATGCAGAGATGCCTCTTTTCAAAATGTTACAAACTTTTCAGTTGAGTGTTTGAAGGTCATAACTTTTTTTGTCCTTATAGAGGTTTCTATCACTGGATGCATCTGCAGTAGAGTTTTTGTTTATCACTGGGCTAAATTTCTTTAAAGTAGCTTTTTTTTTTTAGTGTTATATTTCAGTTTTATTGCTAACCTTGAGTTTAGCCGTAGAAAAATGTTCTGATAAATTGTCCTTGACCGGTTCAGCTAGTTGCTAATTTGAAATATGTATTGACATACTTAGGGATTTTGTAGTCACCAGTGTAAATAGAAACCTGGATTGGATTAGACAGTAGAATCAGATAGCTGCAAGAAAAACTTGGTCATTCTGATGATTTGTTTACACACTTTTAATCTTAAAAAAACCCCAACGAAATAAACCTGCACAACTTTTGCTTCCCTTTTCCCCCTGCTGTGCTTCGGAGCCCTTGTCAAGACCAGCTGCTATGGGATTTTTGTAGCTTCTAGTCCTCTATTCGTTTGTATTGACTCTCTGAACTCTACTTTTGATTTTCAGCCCTCCTCCCAAACACCTTGAATCTTGTTTGTCAGTGATCTTTCACAAAACTTTTCCAGTAGTGTCAACAATGTTCACAAAACAGATTTGGTTGGTTTCTTTGTGCAGATTGTTTCCTCAGCATTGATGGAGTGGTCTTGCAAGGGTTGTTGTCGTTGTTCTTCTGCAGCTGGTACTGCCTTGGGGAAAAAGCTGTGTGTAAAAATGTGCAACATTTGCCTCTTCCTAAGGGATTGACCCACAAGATAGAAGGAGAAAAAAACCCAGTTGCTTTTTGAAACGTTACTTGAATGATAGTGTAAGACTGCATTTATTCTGTTTTCATGTCTTTTCAGCCCGAAGATCCCTGCTTTGCATCTCAGAACCGTGTCTACAATGATATTGGGAAGGAGATGTTGCTGCATGCCTTTGAGGGCTACAATGTATGCATTTTTGCCTATGGACAAACTGGAGCTGGTAAATCCTACACAATGATGGGCAAGCAGGAGGAGAGCCAAGCAGGCATAATCCCCCAGGTAGAACAGAACCCGGAAAGGGTTTGTTTTGTTGTGTGTTTTTTTTTTTTTTACAGCGTGTTCAGACACACGCTTACTGCTGATATGTTCTTTTTATATTGCAATAACAGTTAACAGAGAACCACAGCTTACTTCTGAAGTGAAAGAAATCTGCTGGGGGAAAAAGAGCATTATAAGTAATTTTCCCTCCATTACTTTTCTTTTAATTCTACTGTACACTGTCTATTTTTCCTACATCAAATTTCTCCACTTCCCCAGCAAACTAGTAAATCAAGATGTCTTATTCACTGCATTTCTTGTCTCATTCTCTGACTTTAGCTAGGACAGCACTTAAGCAC